AGTGGGGGATGCACTGGGCTGGAAAAAGCCTTTTGTTGTCTTTCGTGCTGTTTTTCGCTTGTGTGGCAAAACCCCCTGTGCTGGGAGGCTGATGGAGTGGGTGACATCAAGGTTATCATTCAGTTGCCCACCCATGGGCCCATAACACCATTCAAGCTGCCATCTGCCCTGTGCCGGGCACTGGCAATTAGGACCTATGGGCGATGGCATTTTGGCCTGTGGAGTGTCCTCTGGAGTGGTGGTTTGACAATGAGGTGTGATCTACCTGCCCCAGGAGGCATCAGGAGGGGAAGGAGCTCCAGACCACTGTGTGGGACAGCTGCCTGGAGGGTAAAGGCCCTGGCAGGGAGTGGGAGATGCCTGTGCAGGCCATGGCAGCCAAGGGCGTCTCCTGACATGGGTATCAGCAAAGTCCTGGGTGAGATTAGGGGGCTCAGCATCATCAGCCAGTGCTCTGCAGGAGTGGGGAGAGGTCTCGCCTGGGCGGTGCCTGGGATGCCGCACGGCAGCATGCACTCACCTAGCTGTGCAAAAGGCAGGCGGGGAGCATTTAGGTGGAAGAAAAAGAAAAGGGAGGTTTTGATGTCGGCGGTGGGAAAAGATAATGAAAATATAACCGCCAGTGGTGCCCCTGCACTGGGAAGAAGCATGAAGGTGCTGGGCTGCTGGGGTGGGAAGGCGTGCATCCCGAGGGGAGCTGGGCTCCTGCCAGTTTGTCCAGCCCTTGTATCTCTAGTGGAGGGGATGGATACATCCCTCCCTGAAACCTGCCCTGTCCTCAAAAATGTTGGGTTCTAGAGAAAAGCTGAAAATAAGCCATTTGTAATATTTTTTTTCCAAATGAATAGTGATGGAAGTTTTGAGTAGGATGTAAAGTTATTACCACTGCAAGCAAGTTCTTCAAGTTACTCTAACAATTATCTTGCATAGTGATATTTTACTTCCAAATACATACTAGGCCACTACAAGTCCTCTGAGCTGTAAGCCTAGACCTGCTTTTTGCCCTCTGAGACACCTTATTGTAGCTCTCCAGACAGCACTGGAAAGTTTGGATGTATCCTTAAATGCATTGTTGCCCTAAAAATGATGCTCCCAGTAAAATTACTGATGTGTAAATACGGGCATTGCATTCATTTCACATGGCTTCTTTGTAGACCAGTGGCTCTTCTGATTTGCAGCCTCCTGAATATTCCCCAGGTAGGTGCAGACCCTGCGGACAGTGTCTTGAAAATCACGAGCCTCAAACCATGAGCTTGTTTAGTCCCTGCATCACAGCCCTGGGTTTTTGCTTACGCACTGTTTCTGAGCTCTGCAGCTGCAGTCCTCCTCCCTGTTTACCAGTCACCAGTATTGATGTTTTCTACTTCAAGCTTTCTGCTTTGCCTGCTCACAGGAGTGGTGATGCTGGGGTGATTAAGAAACCCCTCGGGCTCCTCGGAGCTGGCCCATTCTGCTGCTGCAGGAGCTGCTGTATCCCAGACCTGTCCCTGTAGCTGGAAAGGACCAGCCCTACAAAATTACTGAAGCGCTGTTGGATGCTGAATTGCAGCATTTAGACATGTAAATCCCTTTGAAAATCTACCCCTAAAGGTTTAGCACCTTCTTCGAGGGGAATTTTGGCTTGATAGTATCTTGTTGTCCTTTATATTCTGGCCAAAGGGCATCCTCTTTGGTGATTTACCCTCCCAAAATAAGAGAGCTGCTAACAGCTGGCTGGACACTGGGCTAAAAACATCCATCGCCAAATCAAATGAGACTTGGAAAGTGACAGAAGAAACGTTGTCTCCTTACAACAAATCTGCTCCCTGAATATATTTAGAGTCAGATCTACTGACTCTAATGACTAGTCTAAGCCTTTACTGTCTTTATTCCTGAGAGCCGAGACCTGTCAGTGAGAGCGAGCTCAATTCCCTTCCTCTCCGAGCATCGGCAGTGCTGGCTAAGATGGGGGCAGGGCCCGGCTGGGCCCGCAGCACCCGTGCCTTGGGCTGATAACAGAGAAGAGGCTTTGCTGGGGGGTGCCCCATTCCCCCGAGAGCACAGAGGGCTGGAAGGAGGCAGAGACGCCTTTTCTCCCTGCAAGCAGAGCAGCCTCGCCTGGGAAAGCCCTTGGCTCTGCTACCTGGAGAGCCTTTCCAGAGCCTTTGTGCTCGCTGCTTGGCAGAGAGAAAAACAGCTGCAGGGCAAGCCTTGTTGGGGATTAAAACATGGTTATGGCCCTGATTTCATCAAACCCTTAACTGGTAGGCACAAGCTTCTGATGTGCTGTGCTGAGGCTGAGCCTCTGTCCCAGAACCCAACGTGGCCACAGAGCCACAGCTCAGGGTGAACACTCCTGCGTCCCACAGGCTGCTGCCGC